ATGATATTCCACTTGATGAATATTCATCTCCATCATTCATGGGCGAACGGTTAATAAAATTACTCGCTTTCTCATTTGTAGTACATATGTGAGAATTTTTAATCTTTAAGGAATATTTTGTTATGGAATATTTTAATTTTATTTATTTTTTTTTAAAAAAAATAAAAATGATACCCATATTTTTATATCACAGCTACCCCCCACCCCCATGTTAAGTAAGCATTAAAAAAATTTCATAATTTGAAATTTTTTAACTCAACACTATAATTTTGATAAGGTCTTAATTTATTCTCGGAGCAATCATCTAATATAATGATCTATGCAATAGTCTATGTGAAATAGTATATATTCACGTCCTTTTTAAGAATTCGCAAAGTTGTTATCGAAATCGTCAAAACCGTCAAAACTTTCGCGACCCATCGAAACCCGTCGAAATCGTCGAAACCCATCGAAACTGTCGAAATAATTTCTGAAAAGTTTCGACTTTTGCCAAAATGGGCTTAGGGTTTTTCCCTGCAACTATAGTCCAAAAGTAAACTGTGTCCAGAAAATCTGCAAAGAAATATATTGTAACTTGTATATGAAATAAATTTTTATTATTCAGGTTAAATGAAATATATTTATGGTAATTATTCAAATTATGTTATAGGATAAATATGTATAGATAGAATGCATTAAAAAAATATATATATATATTTCACAATTAGCACAAGTATATTTATTATTATATTTATTTCTTTGATTAACTTTTTTCTTTTTTTTTTTACTTCTTCTTATCCTTATTATAATAAATCATTTAAAAGTTTTGGATTCATTCGAAGATTATGTCTCATTTTTACCATGTCTGTTAAATATTGATTTATGGAATAGGAATGTTATAAAGCATTTTCTAATTTAACAACAGTTGATTCTGGATATGACGAACCTGCTTATACCAAAATCTTATTATACTGAACCATGTGTTAAAGAACCGATTTTTTTATAATTGATCAGGCTGGATATAATGAATTCATATAATAAAACGTTATATACTGCATCCGAACTAATCTTAACTGAACATGTATATTATGCCATATATTTGATAAACTGAACTATCACGCGATTTATCATATAGCGAACTCACTTTATACCGAACCAAATCTTCTGGAACAGCAGGTTCATTATATCTAGAGTCGACTGTATCCATTTAAATAATCAACTTCCATTGCCAAATTTCTTTTGATAGATTGTAATGATAAAGATTCATAATGACGAGTTTTTATGCAGATTTGAAACGCGGCATCAATCAATCTATCAGTGGCAAATATGTTCGTCGGTGTCATCCCAAGACTTTCTCTGGTATTTTCTGTTGACCATAGAAAATTCTGCGCAAATTGGTCTTATAACACGATCGGCCATCTTGTTAAATAATAATGCCCATTA